ACTGACACCACTGCACTCGACACATTACCAAACTGCTTCATCCCTTTCCTTGTTCAGACCTTCTGCTTACTCAAAGGGGAATCAGTTTCACCGGAGACGAATGCTTTGTTCTGCTACACTGCACGCCTGATCTTGAGACAGCACTGAAAAATAGTAATCGTTGATCAGACACAGTACTAAAAGACAGCAGTAGCTGATCAGAGACGGTACTGACAAAAGGCATCTACTGATCAGAGAAAGTACTGACAAACATCAACCTCGGATCAGAGAGATTACACAAAGAGAGCATCCAGTTACCAGAGACAGTGTTAATATACAGACACCATTCACCAGAGACGGTGCTAACAGACACCATTGACCAGATGCAGTGTGCTCAAAAACAGATAACATTGATCAGAGACAGTGCTAACAAAGAGACATAATTGACCAGATACAGTGCTAAAAATCAGACACCACTGACCAGAGAGATTGCTAAAAAAACAGACATCGTTGACTAGAGAATGTACTAAAAGAAAACAACCATTGACCAGAGACAGTAAAAACAGACAGCATGCACTGACTAGAGACGGTACTGACAGACAGAATACACTACGTTGAGACCTTTCTTCCAACCGCAGGGTCTGTTTCTCATAGAACGGATGCAACGACTGCCTTACCTCATCATGGTTGTGGAGAACATCATCAAACACGTGCACATCTTCCAGGCCATCAACCAGACCACGGAGTCTTTGCCGCCACGAGCAGGTTGTTGCTGTTGTTTCTGGTATTGTAGTCGCAAATTGATATTGTCGCAAATGCTGTTATTTCTTTTATTCCCCCAAGTTGCTAATGTTGTTTTTATTGTAGTTCGTGTTGTTTTTGATGCTGGTGTTGGTGCCGTCATTGTTGTTGTTCTCTACCTCCTCCGTTCTTCTTCCACCTCATTATCCTTTCCTCTCCTTCCTTCTCCTCTTCTTCTTCTTCTTTTTCTTTATTGCCTGCATGTGTTTTTTGCCTAGGTTCACCTGTTTCCGTGGAACGGTCTAACAACGGCTTGCTCGCTACGGGATACAAAAGCAACAGTTCAGGTAAGTTTTAGCCCAAATCATTAAAATCGTTTAGTTAAGGTGCAGGATCGACACCGAAATCAACTAGCCCCTACACAAATCAAAAGTGGTGGTGACAAAAACAACGGAGACACTAGTCGACTTTTTAACGTAAACTACAACGCAGTTGAGGCGATATTTATGTAAGTGTATTTTAGAGCTGTTTTTTTTTTTTTTTTTTTCCATTTGACAATATGCTAAACTCACGGAGTGAATTGTCACTTCAAACAGGCGACAGTGAAGTATTACATTCCCATATTTTTTAAGAGATCTCGGTGTTCAAACGAGATTTGGCATTCATGTGACTTCGACGTAGTGCCAGCTAATTATCCAGAAGTACCGGTAACCGAACATATGACGGTGATGCCTAGGAAGCTCGGAGGGAAAAGACAAGGCACACAAATATTACACAAAAAGACATTCATTGTTGTACCAGTGCATGCTGGTGTAAGAGGACATTAACGACCTGGTAGGCTTGCCGGGAGGGTTGCTGTAGGTGTGGAACAGCAATGAATCAGGATAATATAAATTGTTTTTTTTTTTTTTTTTAAGAAATGACGGTTATAAATTGTAAGCCGTGACCACACTGCCAAATTAGCAAGTCAAAAGGAGCGAGACTTGGAATGAGCACTGTACAGAAGTCAAAAAGACAAATAAAGCAACACAGACCTGTGTCATCAGCTGCTACATGATGCACGATTTACTGAGGAGGGTTTCTGAGAACGTCTGACCTAAATGGTTTGATATGGAACGTTAACTAGCTGTTCAGCTTTATCAATGATCGACACAACAGGAATTATGAGTAAACAAACAAAAGTCAACAAACAAAAGAATCCAGAGTTTCAACCTGTCACCATCAACTATCCAAACAGCAGCCACCATAAGTCGAAAAAGAAGAGCCACACCAAGAACAACAACAACAAAGTCCACACACGAAAGTCAACAATAGAATCGAGGGTTTTGAAATAGCAGTTATCATAAGCCGACAAGGAAAAGTCCACTAAATAAAAGTCAACAAACAAAATTCCACAAACAAAAATTCCATAAACAAAAAGTGAATCAAGCATAGGAATTGAGCTTTTCAAAATTACTTGCACCATAAGCCAAAAAACAAAAGAAGCCAGATTGGTTAAGATACATAGTACTGATTCAGTACTGCCACATACATGTAGAATTGGATTCTGTTCTACTAAATCGTTCCTCTCTTCTGAAACGCTGCTTGAACCCTGTCTGTTCATAGCGAAGTTCGATGTTTGTACATTTTAACTGGTGTATCCGATTTTAGCATTACTGCTTTGTTATTACAGTCGAGTCACTGCTCACTGGACGTTCTTGTACATGTTTAGTACTTTGATGCAGCAGCAGTCCCATAGTACTTCTCTCCTACTCTTATTCTTATCGTTTACCGGTTGTAAACTCCGGGGAAAATTTAGATCGTCCGTCTACTTCTGGTCATGCTTCAGAATTTGAGCTTTGCGTGCACGTCCATTTTGCAGCGCCGTCAAATTTTTAAGAAGATTATTGGTTCCTCTCCTCTCAAGCAGGTGTCCCTCCGACTTCAAGGGGAAAAATATATGCCCCATTTACGGCATGCTTGTTAGGGTGTTGTAAGTCTATTCTCCCCCCGCCTCTCCACCCTTCCCCCATTCCAGATGGAGCCCAGGAGTGTTGCTTCACATTTTAATGCCCTAAAGACCCACTGACCGGGAAGGTACCCCAAAGCGGAGACTGAGTTTTTGTCTACCTTTCTACCCTTTGAATTTCCATAAAAACTGCACTCGAGAATCAAGCAACATAGTTTCCATGTGGGTTCTGGGGCCCCGTTGTGGGAGAAAACAAGAAGAGACCCGCTACTTCCCCAACAAGCATGACAAAGGAGTCAGCTAATTGGGAGCTTCCGTCTCAGTTGGAGTGCATCTGCCCGAGTATTAAGGAACAACCAACTGCACACAAATCAGGCAGTAAAATGGATGTACACGCAAAACTCAGGCACAAAGCAAAGTCCAAGTGGACGAACAAACATGACTTTCCGCCGGTGTTGACCACGAAAGAAGAAGAAGAATGACGCCATGAGCGAAAAGAACCCAAACTGTCAGACGCTGAGACAAAACACTTAGCAACTGTTATGGTAGAGAGTTTCCTCCTTGTCTCCCACTTTTTCTGTTTATTAATTTCTAAACACACGATGATTCGCTGGTTCAATGTAAACCTGGCTGAGGACGGCGAGAATTATTATAACACTGTTTGTGCGTTTCAGATGTTCATGGGATAGCACACTCTGCAACTGAGGGACATGAGGACAGAACAACGGGCATTACCAGCCAAAATGATGCAGGAGAAATCCAAGTATGCCAAATGAAAGACTTCAGAAACGAACTCGGTGAAAATTCAAAGCTGAGACTAATAGATCAGGTGGCCAGAGCTCTATCTGAACCACAAAGGGAAACTGAATATGCTGTGGATATCTGCAAACGCTGCGTGACCGCTCTACCCGTTTGCACCAGCGGAGTTGTCTACGAGAACCCTGGCTCCACCTGGGATCCGCCTAGAGTAGCCAGCAGTCTCAATCTAGCGGTACAAGAAAGTTCCACTAATCCGGTAGAAGTTAGTCTAGAGCCACCAGCCGAAGAAAATAACTGTGCTCCCAGTGTTGATATTGTTCACAAAAAGGCTACATTTACTGGAAAGAAATATTGTACGGTTAGAGGCGCAACGTGCTCTCCGAGCCGACGGAAATCGGCGAAGAAAGATCAAGATGACGCATCCCAGTTTACGTGTGAAATAAAATCGCATAGGTCTATGGACATAAATAACCCGGTGACGCAGAACAAAAGAAAGCGAAAGTGCCGCTCTACGAGCAAAAAATCTAAACGAGAACTAGATAGAACCTTAGCCGAGAGCAATGGTCGAGGGTCTGATTTCACGACTTTCCAGCCAGATGAAGAGATCACCCCTTGGAATGAAGGATCAACCAACAGTGACGATACTAGCGTCATGGCAAAGACAATCCGAAACCCACGCGTCCTTGCCCCTATCGCATCCACTCCGATTAAGTTCGAGAACCAAATCGAGGGTGATCATGTACAGAAAGTAAAAGAACGCATCGTTACATCTGAAAAAGTATCTCGGCTGTTTCTGCCCAACTATTCATTTCGAACAATTAGTCGTCAAAACGATGTTCCCGTTGCATCTGGTTCAAACCAAACCACCTCATCGTCTGGCACCTCTTTCGGTGGTAATATATGTCCCACGCCAGACGTCTGTGGCCACTCCTCCAGCAACAATACACCAATCAGCAAAGATCTCATTAGAGGTGTCAAACTCAAGGGAAGTGTCGGCGTCAACACAAGTCCACGTCTTGAAGAATTTCACAACCTCGGGACCAAAATTGAAGATACTCTTAGAGCATCTGAAAAGAGCAAAGAAACTCCGAACGTTAAGATCCCAGTTACGTATGTACATGAAACAAAGCCAATTTCCCGAACAAGTACTGCAACAAGCAACAGATTCACTCTTCCAACGATAACGAAATCTGCAACGCCAGCCTCGCACATGACTGAATTTGTAACTCGTTTGAGGGGACACGTCAATGGCATGCCTCCATTGATCAACTACCCGCAGTATCCCCAGATTAGACCTCAAGTTCCCAGCCAAGTAGCTGCTTCTGGGAGAATCGAACCCTGCAGCTCGCACATAAAGTACCGTCAGCAGCAGCTCCGGAGGGCCCTGAGGTCCTCCAGCAGCTCCCTAGAACAGAAGCCAAGGAGGAGCTACGCCAACGACTCCTGCGTCCCCGGTCTCTTCGTCAGGGAATGGTTTGTGGATACGTTTCTGGCATTTATAACTGTGCTGTGCATATCTCTTATCTTTCTAGTGTACGAGCAGGACAAGCCCAGGGGTGGTTGGCTGAGATAACATTTGTATGAAATATCAGCTAACTGAAATGGCAGTTGACTGAAATAATACCAACCTGTAGTCACATCCAGATTTATCATTTCTTACGTCCTTCTTAGGACGTTATTTTTTTTTTTTATTTGAAGCCCCACTCTGGCTTTTGCCAGGGGCCGCAATATAGGCAGGTCATCATTATGGCCAAATGTCTGAACGCGGTTTCTGGGACCTCTCCACGGTGATCCTCATCCGCATGGTGGCACTTTGTGTCATCGGGTGTTTATAGCTTGTGTGATGTCCTGGTGGGGTAAAAAGCCAATCCAATCCAACATCCAGATGAAAAAGCCGCGATTGGAAATCACAGCTTCCGCAAATAACAGCGATCTGTCGTGTGTGTGTGTGTGTGTGTGTGTGTGTGTGTGTGTGTGTGTGTGGGTGTGTGTATATATATATAAAAGGGGGTGTGCTGGCAGCTCCTAAATAACCTGATATATACCTGCCATAAAGAACAGCTAGTTATCTGAACAAACGGCTACTTGAAATTTCAGGTGCCTGAAATAATAGGAGTCGCGGTGGGGAAGAAGAGTGGCGGAGACCTGAAATAACAGTAAACTGAAATTATAGCTACTTGAAAAAGAAAGAAACGGCTGCTTGAAATAATTACCTGGGGAAAAAAAACTATCATGAAATCGGCAGCTTGAAGTGAAAGCTTAATGAAATAGCAACTGTCCCTATTAAATTGCAACATGAAAAAAACAGCTAGTTAAGGGTGAAAGGGGGAAAAAATCCAGCATGATAAAGTAATAGACGTGTGAATTAACTACTTGTAGCCACAAGTATATGAAATAACTATCTGAAACAACAAGTAAATGAAATATCGATCTGAAATAACAGCTACTTAAACTGGCATACACCTAAATTTATGAATTCAGGTACCCTTGTTATGCCTGTGGCGGATCAGGCACATGATGATGATCAACATCCCCATAATCATCATGGCGATGGGTCTTGTCAAGTAAAACGAAAGGCCCATTTCGCGCCTTTGGCGACTGGCTGGCATATACTGCAAGGCCTACTTCTTCAAGACCAGTCAGCATTCAGCTGGTGTCTGATGTGATTAAAGACTGTGGACGCTATTAATTTCCAGGCTTTTCTTATTATCCATTTCAGATTTTGTCGAACTGGGAGCTACGGTTATTTATTTATTTTTTTCTCCGAGACCGAATTTAAAACCAGTTCTATACATTTTTTTTTCAACTTAAATGTTTAGGTATGCTATATTATATGTATATAAAATGTAATACGATGTGATTTTAAATTTCTAGAAATAAATCTAATGGATTTTACTTTAAAAAACGAATGTAACTAAGTAAATATTGCCAAACAATGTTAAAATGTAATATATGAGTTACTGCCCTCTACATGGATTAGATAGTTCAGTTGACTTTTTAACTTGCGACATTTGTACTTATTCATTTTTTCTTGTGCCTGCTTATTCTTCTTCTTCTTCTTTTTCTTCTCCTTCTTCTATTTCTTCTTCTTCTTCATTTTCTTCCTCTTCTTCTTCTTCTTCTTCTTATTCTTCTTCTTCTTCTTCTTCTTCTTCTTCTTCTTCTTCTTCTTCTTCTTCTTCTTCTTCTTCTTCTTCTTCTTCTTCTTCTTCTTCTTCTTCTTCTTCTTCTTCTTCTTCTTCTTCTTCTTCTTCTTCTTCTTCTTCTTCTTCTTTTATTTTTTTCCTCTTCTTCTTCCTCTTCTTCTTCTTCTTCTTCTTCTTCTTCTTCTTCTTCTTCTTCTTCTTCTTCTTCTTCTTCTTCTTCTTCTTCTTCTTCTTCTTCTTTTTCTTCTCCTCCTTTTTTTTCTTCTTCTTCTTCTTCTTCTTCTTCTTCTTCTTCTTCTTCTTCTTCTTCTTCTTCTTCTTCTTCTTCTTCTTCTTCTTCTTCTTTTTCTTCTTCTTCTTCTTCCTCGTTGTCTTCACCGGTCTCAAATTCTAGTAAAAAGTTCTGACTTTTGTGTTCCGTGCCCATCTGTGTCAAAGATCTGTTTTGTGTGTGCGTGTGTGAGTGTGTGTGTGTGTGTGTGTGTGTGTGTGTGTGTGTGTGTGTGTGCAAGTTGTTGGTTCCTCGCCATTCAGGAAAATGCACGCCGATTAGTTTCAAAACCTCGACCCAGTCAATGGTGGCCTAGATACACTGGGGAACCTGTTTCTTTTTTGACCGCCAAGAGGTCTTGATCAGTGGCAGCGTTTGTCCTGGTGCAACACCAGGTGTGGCTCAGCATCCTGCCATAATTTCCTGGGACTGTTCCATTCGATGCTAGAGAATAGGTAGAGGACTTGTTAGTGTCCTAGTCAGAACAGGATATTTGTCATTACAGCGTGGTCAGTGTTCTCCAGTCATGTGATGAGAAGAGAGACGACGACTGACGGCCTGAGCAATGTAGTAGTGGAATAGTATCAGTGAAACTGATTCAAGATCTAAGGACAGAGATCTGTAGAGAGATGTAAGCGCCCCGCCTTGCACAGGGTACATGATGATGATTGATGATGAGGGCGATCGAACCCTTGGGTTGCTGCCCGGAAAGGTTATGGGATGAGGGGAAAAAAGTTAGGGGGGGGGGGGCAAACAGACGAAAAAAACTCCGTTTTTGTTGTTATGCTAGACATATTTTCATAGACCAGTCAGAGATCGGTGTGACTTGGGGTCAACATCAAGTGGGTTGCCGTCAATTCTAAGAACTCTACCTCATACCTACTTTAGGCTAGGTCGGCCTGAGAAGAAGGAAAGCATACAGAATTTTTTTTTAAAACGCTGCTGCTACTACTACTACTTTTACTATTACCATCACCATAGCCACAACAATACTAATAATATTAATAATAATAATAATAATAATATTAATAATAATAATAATAATAATAATAATAATAATAATAATAATAATAATAATAATGCTACCACTGCTACTGGTATGGAAAAACCGGATACCATAGACAGAGAATCATTAATGAAGCAGTAATTATGCCCAATGTGTCCACAGTGACATGAAAAGCGATGGCCAGTGATGGCCAACGTTTTCTTGGCCAGAGGCCAAATTGAGAATAACCACCTTGTTGTATGCCATATAGAGAGAACCAACATCCATTATAAACATAGCATCCAGATTGTCTTGTAACACGGTATTGCTTGTTATGTGATACTGACTGACTGACTTTCTACCCCACCAGGACATCACACAAGCGATAAACACCCGAGACACAATGTGCCATCATGCGGGTGAGGATCACTGTGGAGAGGTCTCGGAAACCGCGTTAAGCCATTAGGCCATATTTATGGTCAGACTATATTGCGGCCCCAGGCAAGAGCCAGCGTAGGGCTCCAAATAACGAAAAATTTCATCCTTAAAAGGACGGAAAGTGTAAGCGATACCGCATTCTTTTCATGTATAAACTCTCTGACCAGTGAAAAAAAAAACCGTCGTCACCTTATACTTTATTAACGCCAAAAAGTGAGCTGGAAAAAAATGATGCCTAAGAAAAGGTGCCCGTAATGCTCACTGTTGTTGCGTCAGAAAAAAAAAGCTCAGTTGAAACAATAGTAGAAAAAAAATGAAAAGGACAAATATTGGGACAACTGTAATTGTTCACACACACACTCGCGCGCACCACTCACACTCACACACACATACACATACACACATACACACACACACACACACACACTCACACACGCACATTTAAAATGGGAGACAATCTTAAAATACTTGATACTTCCGCATAAATTAGTATTGCTACTTCCCTTTGATCGTTTGCATTTGAAATGACCTCGAGATCAGTGTTCGGCTATCTTAAGTATCACAATGAATTAACATGAGAGAGGATAAAGACCCGTTGATGTGTTACTTTTATTTTGCGATAATGCAAACCAATAACCAGACGGTAAAATGTGAACAAAAAAAACTAACTGAGAACGTAGGGATAGGATATTCATAAGAACCTTTATGAAATGTCAGAGGTTCCGGACTAAATTCCACAGCAAACCCAGGCCCAATATTTGACACTTTTCGGAAGGGGGGGGGGGGTATTTTGAGACCACACCGGCTGTAGTAGGTGGCTCTAACCTAACGGTTGCACCGGGGTTTTTAGAACTTGTTCCCAGGTGTTCCCCATCCGAATATTGACACTTTGTGTCACTGGGTGTTAATCGCTCGACGTGCGGTGTAGGTAGAGTTGAATCACAAATTCCACAAGACTTTGAAATGATTGCAAACGGGTAGAACCGAATGGCATAAATATAAGCAATTTCTATGTAACTTACAAACGACAGAACATGATAATGAGTGACAAAGATTCAAGTGGGGGTAACGATAATATTTCATTAGGCCATAACTAAGGATTAATGTATCATATACAATCTTGTGTAAGTTCAACTAGGGGTATAACATCAAGAAAAATCAATACATAGATACACACACACACACACACACACACACACAAACACACACACACACACACACACACACACACACACACACACACATACATACATACATACTACATACATACATACATACATACATACATACATAACATACATACATACATACATACATACATACATACATACATACATACCTTACATAACATACATACATACATACATACATACATACATACATACATACATACATAATACATACATACATACTTAACATACATACCTACATACATGACATACATACATACATAAATACATACATACATACATACATACATACATACATACATACATACATATCATACATACATACATACAATACATACATACATACATACATACATACATACATACATACATACATACATACATACATACGATATCATACATACATACACTACATACATACATACATACATACATACATACATACATACATACATACATACCATACATACATACATACATACATACATACATACATACATACATACATACATAACATACATACATACATACATACATACATAA